CCTTTATCCAATAGCTAGCAAGGAACTGAATCTTGCCAACAGCCACGTGAATGATATTGGAGCAGAACCTTCCCCAGTTGAGACTTAAGGAGATCACAGCTCCACCTCACACCTTGATTGCAAACTTGTAGGACACCCTGAACCAGAGGACCAGCTGGATGGCCCCCAGGTTCCTGACACGTAAAAAATGTGAGAGCACACTTACCTGTTTTAAGCCATTACGTTTTCTGGATGCTTCTTACAAAAGTACCCCAGTGCACCACAGAAATCCCTTGCCCCTTCCACCATGTGAGGTTTATTGAGGTATAATTGATATACAAAACCTGCGTATCCTACATTTCTATGTATATTTAATGTATACTATTGTATGCAATTTGATGTATACATTTTAATGTATACAATTTGATGAATTTGGACATATGCACACATCTGTGACACCATCGTCACAATCAAGGTAATAAACATATCCATCACTTCCAAAGTTTCCTCGTATCCTTTTGTTTCTTGGGGATGTTTTAGGAGGTAGGGGGGTAAAGAACACTTGAGGTGAGGTCTACCCTCTTAATAAAATGTTAAGTGCACAATACAGTGTTGTTAACTAGAGGTGCTATGTCTCACAGCAGAGCAGAGCTCTAGAACTTACTCGTCTTGCATATCTGAAACTATACCCATTGAACATCACCCACGGAACATTCTTGAAAAAATTGAAACTAATCACGCTGAACCAATCAGTCAACTTCAGAATGTGGGACTTTTTTTTTTTTTTTTGCTGAGCCATCCTGCCACCTGTTGGCAGCTCAGCAGCAGCTCAACTCAGGCCAGGAATCGAACTGGTGACCCTGTTACTCAGAGCTCACACTCTTGAGTGAGCTCTTAACCAACTGAGCTACTCAGCCAGCCCCAGAATGTGGGATATTTTTACAAAACAACAGGACTTCAAAATCATGAAAGTCAGGCAAGACTCTCCATACACACACCCCCACACACACAAAAAATATGGGGACTTCTCTAGATTAAAGGGAACTGAGAGAAGTGATAACCAAATGTAATAAGTGAAATTTGATTAAACCCTAGATTTTGTTTGAAAGATATATAAAGAAAATTGGGGAAAGAATAACAGTTTTATTTGATTGAATTTGAATTATTTAATCAATGATAATGACTGTCTTGGGATGATAATGGCATTGTGGTCTCATAGATAATGCCCTTAGGGGATACATAGTTAAGTATTGAAGGAGAAGCATCATGGTGTCTGCAACTCTCTTCCAAATGGTTTAGCAAAACAAACAGATTTTTTGTAAAGATGCTCCTCCACTTATGACAGGTTATGTCCCGATATATTGAAAATACCATAAGTGGAAAACGCACCTGATACACTAACCTACCGAACATCACACGTAGCCCAGCCTTCCGCGCTGCCTTCCGTAAACCTGCTCAGACACTTATTAGCCTCCAGCTGGGCACAGTCATCTCGCTGCCGCTGCCCAGTATCACAGGAGAAGATCGTACTGCGTATCGTTAGCCCGGGAAAAGATCCAAATTCAAAATTTGAAATACAGTTTCTACTAAATGCATATGGCTTTCACACCATTGTAAAGTTGAAAAATCCTCAGTTGGACCATCATAAGTAGAGAACCGTCTGTGTATATTTTTATACATATTTGTATGGATATATATATATATATATATACATATATACGTATATACATATATATGTATATATAGTGCCCAAAAAAGTATACACATTTTAAGGAAGGAAAACTATTAAAATTGTAATACTCAACATATACCAAAAACAAAAGATGAATACAAGTCACATTTGACTTCTGCAATTACAAGAGGTGCTCAAAGTGGTTACCATCAGCATAATTTTAATAGTTTTTTCCTTTCTTAAAATGTGTATACATTTTTTTGGCACCTCCTGTATGTATGTATGTATGTATGTATGTATACGCGCGCCCACGCAGTCTGACAATTTTCACAAACTTGTTGCAAAGATGTTGCTAAACTATTTTAATATCAGAGGAATTATTCATTATGAATTTGTACCAACTGGACAAACAGTTAACCAAGTTTACTATTTGGAAGTGCTGAAAAGGCTGTGTGGAAAATTTTAAGACCACCTGAACTTTTCACCAACAATTCATGGCTCTTGCATGACGACAAGGCACCAGCTCACATGGCACTGTCTGTGAGGGAGTTTTTAGCCAGTAAACAAATAACTGTATTAGAACGCCCTTCCTACTCACCTGATCTGGCCCCCAATGACTTCTTTCTTTACCCGAAGATAAAGGAAATATTGAAAGGAAGACATTTTGATGACATTCAGGACATCAAAGGTAATATGACAACAGCACTGATGGCCATTCCAGAAAAAGAGTTCCAAAATTGCTTTGAAGGGTGGGCTAGGTGCTGGCATTGGTGCACAGCTTCCCAAGGGGAGTACTTCAAAGGTGACCACAGTGATTAATATTCAGCAATGAGGTATATAGCACTTTTTCTAGAATGAGTTCGTGAACTTAATTGTCAGACTGTGTGTGTGTGTCTGTGTGTCTGTGTGTGTGTACATATTAGAGAGAGAATGCTAAAGCAAGTATGGCAAAATGAATCTAGGTGGAGGGTATATAAGTGTTTATTATAGTATTCTTGCAACTTTTTTGTAGCTTTGAAACTTTTCAAAATATAAAGGTGGGAAAACAAACAAACCACCCTCACTCCTCCACACTTGTTTCTCCAAGCTGTTGTCATTTCACCTTTTACTCACAGCAGAGATTTCTCAGGAGTCTCTGGGCACTCGCTCTATGTGCTGATTAATGTTTAATAATTGTCCCTCCAAACAAACCAAAAAGCTCCTGATCTGTAGTGTTTGTCAATTTCTGGTGTAAACAGTCCCACTATGGCCAATTTCAAACTACTAATGTGGCATCATTAAACACAGACTCGGTAAGCAATGCAGCAGCACATATCTTATAGTATTTCCAGAGTACAGACATGATATGTATAAATAATTCAGCAGCAAAGATAGTAACATGTAGTAAAATAATTAGGAAGTGTTGAGTTCTGAGTATTTATTACCTTTGTCTTAATATAATCCATTTGGTCATAAGTTTATACAATTAATTTTTAAATCATGGCTGTATTTAGCAACTGGCTTCAAAATTCCTAAAAATTTGACAGTTGGCTCTCACCAGTCAGTACACACTGATTCCAACACACCCCTGTAAAAAAAAAATCTCAACCCACTGAAATCTGACTTCCACAGCCACCATTCAACCCAAACCCTCTTGCTTGTCTCCCCAAGGACCTCCGTATTGTAAAAATGCAAAGGATGATGGATGACAGTTCTGGCCTCACCTGTCTTGCCTGAGTTCTCTGCAGTAATCAACACTGATTACTCCATCGCCTTCTCCAAGGCCCTCCAGATCCTCCTCCTACCTGTTGACCAGTCCTGCCCAGTCTCCTTTAAGGACTCTTTGCCCTCAACTTTACCTTTGGGCTTTTGATATGCCTGTTTGACACATTCTCCTTGGGTGCCCTTGTTCAACTCCATGGTCCCAGCTACAACTAAGAAGCCCAGACCTTCTTCTCAACAACAAACCTGTATATCCCAACCACTTAACTAGTTTTCTCCTCTTGGAGTGAAGGCATTTCAAACAAAGCCAGAGTGGAGACCTCAGCCCTTACTCCCACCTTGAGGTGGAGCTCTTGAGGAACAGAAAACGCAGGTCTATCTAATCCTGAAGCCAGGGAGTGTATGTTGCCCCCTTTCAAGTCCCATAGACATTATCACAATTTATTAATGCAAAAGGCTTCAATAGGGCAAACACAACATACATACATTAACTCTCCCAAGGAACCAGACCTTCCTCTCCCCAGCCTCAGACAGCATGGCCACGTCAAGGTACCGCCACTTGGTGGCGGCATTCTCTAAATGGAAAATAGTATCTGGGTGCTGAAATGACAGAGGCCTGAGATTCTTCAGGGCAAGGTGTGTTCATTCACACTGAATCGATGGAGGGGTGGCTCACACTCAGCTTGGTCTCAGCGTCCGCTTCCTGTTCTGGACCAAAACCATCAGGCGCCTTCCCAAAGTGTTCTACAAAAGTGAGCTCATTCGCTCTGGCTCTTGTTCTTGCAGCAACTCAGTTGCCCGTCTGTTGGTCACTGTCAGTCATCCTGTCATTGTCAGTGAGAGCTAGAGTCAATCACTGTCGGGCTGGTTCGCTGCTCAATGAGTCAGAATCCAACTGAATTCGTACTTGTGATGTGTAATTCTGCCTACTCGTCCTTCTGGCCACCAGAAAGGACCCCTTGTGTTCTACAGGTGAAGCATCGCTCGCGTCGGAATCCACGCCCTCAGGCTCCGCCCCTTTGTAGTCTTATCCAACCATAGGTCTCTGCCACACAGGAGTTCCCGCCCTTCGGGTCGCATCCAGTCACAGGTCCCGCAAATTCTGTTCTATCAAAGGCCTAGCTCTCTAGGAATTCCCCGCTCCTATCAGGCCCCGCCCCTATAGCAGACCTCTCTCCAAGGTCCTGCCTCCCTTGGGAGTTCTGTCCAATCGCAGCCTTTTCTCTCCTCAACCCCGCCCCCTGTCTCGCTTTTCCCAGGCCGATGGCGCCCCAGCAAGACGCGAAGGATGACGCCATCGCGCCGCGCCGAAAGAAGGTCACAAGGGATCCTCCAACATGGCGGCAGCGGCGCTGCGGGGATCCTGGTGCCGCTGCCCGCGGGTGAGCCGACCTGCGGGGCCAGGGGGACCGGGGGGAGTTGGGAGGATAGCCGGCCTCAGGACCTCCGGGCCCGTGACCTGCAGGGTTTCCTTCTCAGGCCTTTGGCCCCTTCGGCCCTTCCCTGGGGCAGGCGAGAGGCTTGGGGTTGGGTCGTTGAGTCAGCGGAGGCTGGGACAGGGGGCCCGAAGCGAGGCTTGAGAGCCGGACCTGAGCGTGCTGGGCAGGGGCGGCGTTGCGCGGGGCTGGGCAGGGAGCCGATCGGCGTCCCTCGCCTCCTAGTGAGACCCCACGTGCACCAGGGAGTGAAAGGAGGCCTTGGCACCCAATGGAGAAAAGCGAGAAGGCAAAAAGCCGTGACAGGCATGAGTCACGTTTATATGCCAGGGCCCCTGTCGAGAGCATTTCCTGCATTGCCTCTCCTGTACATCTTTGTTAAAGTGCGGAAGGTAACTCTCGCCCTTGCTAAGAGCTTGGGCTCGAGGGATGGTGGGAGTCAAGGCGTGTAAAGCTCACGCAGAAAGTAGTATTTAATGTTGCTACTGCTTGTCGCTATTTCACAGGTTAGGAAACGGTACAGCCTGGTTAAGCAACCTGCCCACAGTCTCAGAGCTAGGGGAGTGGCTGACCAGATCCAAAGCAGAGGTCAGTCTGACTCCAGAGGCAGACTCTGGAAGAAGGAAAACAGTTCATTGGAATCTGAGTGAAAAAAGGTGTCTTTGACCCAGGACAGATTTTCTTTTTCTTGGCTGCTTGTCTTTTGAGTCAGGGGTTAGAGGTTGCATTTACACGTTTTTGGATTTGGACACAAGATCAAGGGGGAACTACCCTCAGGTTTGGTTCTGCTATGGAATTTCTCTCCTAAATTCGACAACCATCTACTTCTATTTCAGACTTGCTGAAGTCAGTGGCTCCAGGATCAATGGGTGTAGGCATTTAGAGAAGTACAACAAGTTATTTAAACTCCCAAGAGTTACTCTTGAGTAGCTATAAGAGATGGTAGTATCTGTGTAAGTTTGGGATGTTGCCTAGGGTTTCTGGAGACAGGAGGCATGGAACAGAGAGGAATGGCCCAGGGAATGTGGCAATGGAAGAATGGTTCTATCAGGTTATTGACATCAGTGTGCCTGGCTCTGTGCTGGGTGCTAGCGTGCAGCGTTGAACAACCTGCACAGGCCCTTTGTTCATAGAGCTTAAGTTCATTATTTGGTAGGAGAAGAAATGCCTTTCACATGAGGTTGGCAGTGTTGACTGGCAAAAAATAACTCTCCAAGTAATCCACAAAAGAAACGGTTTATTCGGGAAAAGGAAAAAGAAACGAAAACGGCCACCGCAGTGCAAGAACGCACACCTCCTACACCGGGCTCCAACCGGCAACCCACGTGCAGGAAGATAGACCCCGGATTCCAAGACGGCTAATCCCTTTATTCTGATCCCTCCCCCCAGAAATTACCATAAGGATAAAGGGATGTCAGGATTATAGTGTTAACAAGGGGCCCAGCTCCACCCATAGTCCTCCCAGCTCTATGGTTAAGCATCTTAAGATGCCAGTTCAATTTATCAGCAGCATATTTGCCCAAGTGACTCCCTAAGTTGCTGTGCTTGGAGCCCAACCCTGGACCAGGACATGGTAGGTTTATTCCAGGGTTGTACTTAGGACAGAAAGTTATCAGTGTTTACCTCTGAAAGCCCAGGTTTCTGGTACTACAAGGCCAGCAGGAGTGGGGTGGGCTTGTGAGAGAAGACTGCTTGCCACCAGCATCGAGGTTCAGCCTGCCCGTTTTCAGACTAAGGGATTAAATTAAACTGACACATTTAGCCTTCTTCCACCATAGGTTAGCGTTTCCTGGGACTCACCTGGTTTCCCCCAGGTTCAGAGGCAGGAGGGTAGGTGTAGGCCCTGAGATAGAGATCCTGTGTTTTCTCTATTTACCAGATTCCACTGGCTTCTCAGAACTTGGGAAGATTGTAGAGTGGCTGGCATGTGCCAGGCATGCGATAAAAATTGGCAAATGCGTCTCAGGCAGCCCCTGCTTTTTTAGTGTGGCCTACTTAATTTTCTAGTCACCCTCTTATCTGAGTGGATCTTTCTCTTTTCTCTCCCAATTAGAGATGCCTCAGCAGTGGAATCCATTTTCTATCCAGCCACAACTTAGTGCCATTACCCCATGGTACCTATCAGATATGTCGGCCAGGTGGAGAGCTGTCCCTGGTGAGTAATTCAGGACACGAACGAGCAGATTGAAGGGGGGAGGCCTCAAAAATCAGACCTCGTTGACAGGAGAGAGGGCTGCAGGATGTTGCCCATATTGCCAGTGGCCTCTGACTGGCAGGCCTTCCATATCCAAGGCCTTCAGAGTTCCAGAGCCCAGTGTGCCTGGTCCTCTCCACATCCCCAGAAGTGCTCAGCGTTGTTCGGGATAGGGCCCCTGCCTCACAAAGTGGCACGTTATGTCAGCTCTGATGGCTAGAAGAGCATCCCTTGTACTGAACTGAGATCCATGTCCCTGTGACCGATGGGGCCTTCACCAAGGAAAGCTGTATTCTTTTCTGGGTGACAGCCCTATAGGCATTTAAGCAGAGTCACCCATCATATCCTGGGGCTCAGTTTCCCCAGGCTACATCTCCCCCATCTTTTATGTTGTTTCTCACAGGTAACATTTTTCTAGAGCTTTTGCCCTCCCTGTCACTCCTCTTAACCATGCTTCTGTTGGTACTACCACAGACAGGAAAGCCCCAAACCTGACACTCTTCCCTAGTCCGCATTGGGCAGCCCACACTCTCCCTTCCTAGTCTCCTCTTGGCTATTTCCATGCAGGCACCTAGTTACCTGCGCCTGTCTCACTCAGGCTTTATCTCCCTGATCCTCTCCTGGGGCTGTTTACAGGAATGGGACAGGCCCTGTGGTCCTTCCCCTTTATTGTCCAGTCTCCCTCCACCCACCTATCGTTTGTAGCCCGAGTGAGTGACAGGGCTGCTGCATGGTGGCATGGTCCCTGACAGTCTCAGAACCTGGACTCCCCTGGAGAGAAAGGCTGGCCAGGGTGCATCTAGACGAGATGGCGGTCTGCCATCACCAGGCCTGGCCGCCCCTCCTGTGGAGCAGCACCTGGGCTTGGCGCAGCTTTTCCCGGGGCTTGACAGGGTCCAGGGAGGCAGTCACCCCTGAAACCAGTAAAATGAGCCCCCAGCCATGGCGACATACCCAGCACACCATGGTGGAAGTGGCGGGAGCAGCTGAGCACACGCAGCTGCCTCCTAGTGACTTGAGTCTCTCGTAATCGCTCTTTAAGCTTTCTCTTCTCTGAGCCTACTCTTCGTTACACGGGTGGCAAAGCAGAGATCTAAACCCAGCTCCGCCTGCCCTGAAGCCTGTGTCTTGAGCATTGTACAACAGCGGTGCTTGTGCCTGGAGCTGGGCCACTTCTGACGTCCCTAGGGTCTGGCTTCTCGGTGTGTTGGGTTTTCCCATGGAGGGGAACTCTGAGCTTGGGCTCTTGGTGCTTGTGACCCTGTGGGCCAAGAGGGAGGTTTGTGCCAGGCCCTAGCCTCTTGGGTGACATATGAGTTCCAGCTGGGGACTTGGGAGAAGGAAGACTTTACCCCAGCCCCAGAAACCCCACCCTGTACCAGCTCCTTATGGATGAGGAGCCACAGAGTCCTTTCAACTCCAGTCCTGGGGCAAGGGCCCCTTGGGTGTTGACTTTGGCCATGGGTGAGCGTGTTTGAATCCCCATGAGTATTCTAAGCTGCGACTGTTTCTCGTCCAGCATTTCCTCTCTTGGAGAAGGAACCTGGCATTTTGTTTTATTTTTAATAGACTTTATTTTTTTTGAGCAGTTTTAGATTTACAGAAAAATTGAACAGAAAGTACAGAGAGTTTCCATACACCTCTCCCCCTCAGCAGTTTCCCTATTATTCAGATCTTGCATTCCATTGGGACATTTGTTAACAGCTAGTGAGCTGATGTGGATACATTGTTATTAACTGAAGTCCATTGTTTCAATAGGGTTCACTCTCTGTGTTGTCCATTCTATGAGTTTTGACAAAATTTAATGACATGTATCCACCATGAAAGTATTATACAGAATATCTCCGTTGCCCTAAAAATCCTATGTTCTGCCTATTTAACTGGAAACCCAACCTCTGGCAACCACTGATCCTTTCACTGTCTCACTTTTCTAGAATGTCATACAGTTGGAATCTTACAGTATGTACGTAGCCTTTTCAGATTTGCTTCTTTCATTTAATAACCTGCATTTAGGGTTCCTCCATGTTTTTTCACGGCTTGACAGCTCATTTCTTTTTATCGCTGAATAATACTTCGTTGTCTGGATGTCCCACAGTTTATCACCTGATGCTTTTTAAATTTGTCTTGTATCATTCTTATGAAAATAAAAAGGTAGCTATTCCATTGTTAAACTGTATCAATAGAAAGGAAAAAATTAAAAATCCTTCATTCCTTTTACATTCTTTCTAGTCCAAATCCTATTCTTCTGGAAGCAGAAAAGGCTTTCTGTCCGGCTTGCTAGATAACATCAAACAAGAATTAGCCAAAAACAAAGAAATGAAAGAAAGTATAAAAAAGTTCCGAGACGAGGCCCGGAAGTTGGAAGAGTCAGATGCACTCCAGGAAGCCAGGAGGAAATACGTGAGTCCCTTTGCATCGTCTCTCCCTCGGTGGGCACTCTTGCTTTCAGAGCCAGGATTTCCCTGGACCCGGGACAGTGCGAGGAGCTCAGTGTGGGCCTGATTGGGGGAGGAGTGGCTTATGTGGAGGTGAGGTCACCTCACTGATGATAGCAGCCTAGGGGAAAGGAGTGGGTCGCACTGACTTCTCCTGGGAGCTTGTGAGAAATAAAGGGTCTCAGAGCCCTGTCGACCTGCTGGGTTAGAATCTGTGTGTCCACAGCCCCCAATGACCCTTCGAGGACTGGGTTTGAGATGCATTGCTGTCGAGAGCCTCCTGGTCATGGTCCTCTGGGTGAAATGGGTAGAAAGTGGGTCACAGTGCTGGTGTAATTACCAATCCCCACTGCTACCTCTTACAGAGCAGCTGCCAAGAGCCCACCACTGTGAATGGGGGTATGGGCATCTGCCCCAGGTCCCTCGGTTTTTGTTCTCTTGAGTCCCGCCCCCCCAGGCCATTGGCAAGGCCTGTTGCTTCTGAGTGTCCCCAAGTCGCCCACCCACGTGGACCTAACTACCTGTGGGCGACTCAGCCCAGTGGAAGATGGCCCTTCCTTTTCATTAAGGAAGGGGAGTGGGCTGAGCGGTCCTTCGGGGGCCAAGCAGGCTGAGGTTGGATGGGGTGGCCGGGGTGCGGGAGACGCTGCAGTGGTTGGTGGCTGGGTGAGGGACAGTGGGACAGGAGAATACTGATGAGCTGACAGGCAAGATCCCCCTTGCCACCTAGAGCAAGATGCAGGGCTGGCAGCTCCTGTGCTCAGGAGGGTCCCAGTCTGTCGGCCCTCAGCTGCTAAGATCTGCAGACCAGGCGGTGGGGCAGTGAGGGGCTTTTGGGGTGGGGGCGGTTTGGAGGAGGAAGGGGCTGCTGAGAAAATGCATCTTTGAGCCTTTGACTGTCCAGTAACTGCTGCGTGGTAACAAAAGGAAACAACACTCTTTACTGTAGAAAACAATTGAATCCGAAACTGTGCGGACAAGCGAGGTGATTAAGAAGAAGCTGGGGGAGATTACAGGCACCGTGAAGGAGGTAACGGCCTCTGGGTCCCCTCTGCTTCTTGGCCACGGCTCCTCTCTCAGGAGAGGTGTGCTGGGAGCCGAGGAGAGCAGGCATGGTTGGGGGGCTGGGGGGCTAGTGAGGGGAGAGCCAGCCTGGCCTGGAGGCTTCTGGAGTCCAAATACAAACACCCCTCAGGAAGGAGGAGAAGTCGGACTCGCCCACCTGTCCGGCAGTTTGCTACTTAAGTTAGAAGTGGGTGAGCCAACAGCCCATAGTGAGGATAAAATGAGGATTTTTTTCCTGCCTGCCTAAAAATAGAAGAGGGGACTTTGCACCCAAGGGAGGGTGGAGACAGTGTGGGAGCTTCCTTTTTATTGCTTCTGGGGTTTTTCTGTTGTTGTTCTTGTGGCTGGGGTGGGGGATAGGTTGTGCATGGTTCTGTATGAGGCCAGCCCAATATTGGGCATACCCTCACCTTCTTACCTCTGGGCTGCTGCTCCTATGGAATCCTGCAGGGATTCAGGGCTCCTGCCTATTCTGGGGAAAGGCCAGTTGACCCAGGGTCCAGCACCCCAGAAATTGTAGGCAGTGTTCTTGAACGTATGCACCTGAGTTGAGGGACCTCTATAGCCAGGTGAGTTCAGAGCACCAGCTCCCACCCGCTTTTTGGAAGACTGGTCTGGCCTTAGTTCCAGGGAAGCTCCTGTGGGCCCCCGAGGGGTACTGCGCTGACACCCCCTCCCTTCTGTCTCAGTAGAGTCTTGACGGAGTCAGTAAAAGCGACCTTGGCCGGAAAATCAAGGAGGGTATGGAGGAAGCAGCCAAGACCGCCAAGCAGTCAGCCGAGACGGTGTCCAAGGGCGGGGAGAAGCTGGGCAGGACCGCGGCCTTCAAAGCCCTCTCCCAGGTGAGTTGGACACTGCGGCCTGTGGCCGAAGATACTCTGGGCTCTGGCCTGCTCTGAAGCCGAGAGCCAGCGCTCCCACTTCAGCGCTCAGCCCCAGAGAGGACTGGCTACGCCAGGGAGTGCAGTGGGACAGACTGGTGGGGAGGGCCCACTGGAGGTGCCAGATCCTCGCTCTCCTCCTGGCTGGGTGGCCTTGGGTAAGTCACAGCCCTAGGGAACTGCAAGTCAATGTACTGTGAGCCTCACCCGCACTCAGCTGCTCACTCCCTGAGCTTGCGTCCATAACCCAGAGATCTGTCGCATTCGGGATGACTTGAGGTCCTGAATTCACCCCACTAGCACTTGTTGAACCTTACCACGGGGGCCACAGGAGTAAAAGTCTGAGTTCCTGCTCTCCAGGGGTCTGGGGGACAGGCAATTCCTGAGTGACATGTGACAGAGGAACACAGGGGAAGGGGTCACAGGCAGAAGAGAGCAGGCCCTAAACGGGGTGCAAACACAGCCTGCTCGGGGCACCCCACACAACTTGGCATGGCCAGAGCAACTGCAGGGGGCTCAGAGTGAGGCCAAGGGAAAGCAGGGCCCGTCGGAGCGGTCCGGCGGGCCACACAGGGGACCTTAGATTTCCAGAAAGTGACAAGGAGCCAAAGAAGGATACAGGCAGACCTCAGAGATATTGCAGGTTAGGTTCCAGACCAGTGATAAAGTGAACACCACAGTAAAGCCAGCCATAGAAATTTGGTGCTTTCCTGGTGCCTAGAAAAGTTACATTTACACTATACTGTAGTCTGTTAAGTATGCAATGGCATTATGTCTAAAAAAGACAATGTGCAGACTTTAATTAAAAAATACTGTTTTTGCTAAAAAATGCTCACCATCATCTGAGCCTTTAGCAAGTTGTAATCTTTTTGCTGGTGGAGGGTCTTACCTTCAGTTTGTAAAAAAAAAAAAGAAAAAAAAAAGTCAATATCTGCAAGGTGCAATAAAGCGAGGTACGCCTACATTGGGTGTAGAAGAGGCATGGCCACCATCGAGGACTCTGGCAGTGGTACAGGAGGCCAGAGTCTTGGGTGGCCCTCGTACACCTGCCCGTGGGGGTAGGGGTGGATTGCAGAGGTTTGGGAAGGTGGACACAGACTTTGGGTCTGCTCAGATGAGAGGAGTGGGGCAGAGGCAGAACTTAGGATGTCCCTTGGGTTTCCAAGGAGACTGAGGTGTCAGTCTCGTCATCTGAGGGTCATCTGGGGGCAGCCTGCTGCTCCTGGAGGGAAGCGGGGAAGTCAGGCAGAGCTGGGGTCTCCCTGGAGGCTCAGGCATGTCATTGCCTGCGGTGGGCTAGGTGGGTGCTCTGGGCTACATAACCGTAAGACCTGGGGAAAGCGAGCCCCCGGTGTGCCGCTGGGCCCGAGGTAGGTGCATGGCAGGCACTCCCTGTCTTTGGGCACAATTACATAGGCCGACAGTGGTCTGGGGGTGTCAGGAGGGTCCCCAGCACCTCCCCCGTGCCTTCTGTGCTCTCCTCCAGGGGGTGGAGTCAGTGAAGAAGGAACTCGACGACAGTGTCCTGGGCCAGACCGGGCCCTACCGGAGGCCCGAGCGGCTCAGGAAGAGGAAGGAGTTTGCCGGAGAGAAGTTCAAGGAAGAGAAAGTGTTTGAGCCCAATGAGTAGGTAGCAGGCCGGTCAGGGACCCCCTCACCGCCTCCCCTTCAGGCCCACAGAAGTCAGTTATTGAGTTTGTTTTCTGCTCCAGGCTTCCTGGCTCCCTTGAGAGGATTTGGGGGAGGGTAGGTGGTGAGAAGGGCAAGAGAGAAGACAGGAGGCCACTGGATGAGGACGGGGTCACCACAGCCCCTGAGCTGCCTCCTCCCCGCGGTCCCCCAGCTGCTGGTCACCAGCTGCCCCGTCTCCCACAGGGAGGCCCTGGGGGTCGTGCTGCACAAGGACTCCAGGTGGTACCAGCAGTGGAAGGACTTCAGGGACAACAATGTGGTGTTCAACCGTGAGTGTTCCCGTCCCCGAAACTTGGCAGTGACAGGGGACACTAACTGAACACTTCCCGGGTGCTGGGCACAAGCCAGATCCCCCTTGACAGAGAAGGAGACGGGTCAGAGAGGAGCACTCATTTCCGCAGGGTCACCCAGTGAGTGAGCAGTAGGGCGTCAGCCTCTAGGTGGCCGGTGGGCAGGGGCATTACTGTCAGGACTGGCTCACCATCTTGGCTGTCACTAGAGGTGGTGGTGGTGGCAGTGGGGTGGCCAGGCACAATGGTGGCTGTGGATTTCGAGAGATGCTCACTCAAGGGAGGATGGGAGGCCAAGAACCCTGGTGCAGATAGAGCTGAAGCCTGCTCAGGACCCTGGAGTTCTCTGCTCTCACTGGGGCACGGGGCTTCCTAGATGCTGACAAGAAGTGGGGCCAGGCCACTCACCCTTGTCCCTTGTCTTGTGGGGACCGCTAGAGGCCTGTGTTTCCTTGTTTGCACAGTCCCCTAGGCCCACAGCTGAGCCGTCTCTGCAGCCCCCTGAGGTAGGTTGGCAGGTCCCAGTCTCCATGCACAGCTGAGGAAGCAGGCGCAGAGCAGAGAGGTCCCCTTATCTACCTGACCTGTGTCTGAAGCAGGGCCACAGGGAGCACCCAGAAGTTGGGGACTGGGGGTATCTTTCCAGAAGGGACACCTGACCTGCCTCTGTCTCCTGCAGGGTTCTTCGAGATGAAGATGAAGTATGACGAGAGTGACAACGCGCTCATCCGGGCCTCCCGCGCACTGACAGACAAGGTCACAGACTTGCTGGGTGAGTGGACAGTCCCAGGACTGTCATGCCCCACCCCCACACCCATGGGCAGGCAGCAGGGAGGGGTTCCAGGCTCCCTACCAACTCCTGGCTTGGCTGCCCCCAGGGGGCCTGTTCTCAAAGACCGAGATGTCAGAGGTGCTCACGGAGATCTTGCGTGTGGACCCTGCCTTTGACAAGGAGCGGTTCCTGCAGCAGTGTGAGAATGACATCATCCCCAACGTATTGGAGGTGAGTGCCCCACTCCTCAGGCCCCTCCTCACCAGATTGAAAGTTCCTTTAGCGGCATTTACCGTATTTGCCGGCGTATAAGACGACTGGGCGTATAAGACGACCCCCTAACATTTCCACTCAAAATACAGAGTTTGTTATATACTCGCCGTATAAGACTACCCCCTCTTCCGCACACCTTCCACACCAAATAAAAGGTAAAACAATATCAGATTTGATTTTGCCCACTGAAGTGCAAACAAGCGTATTGTATTTCGTGTCACCACATAACCGTTTTGGCGATGTTGAGCCACCATGTCTGCTACATGTTTTTCGAATTCTGGCCAGTGTGGGGTGCTTCTTCTTAATGCACACTTACCCCTTGGCATACTCTTTAATGCTTTCTCATTTGATTTCCAGTCCCGAACCATCTTTTCTGTTACTCCATATTGTCTTGCAGCAGCACAATTATTATTTTCCTTAGCAAAGTTTATAACTTTCAGTTTAAAATTTGCATCATACTTCTTTCTTTTGGCTGGTGCCATGATAGGGATGATAGGGGTTTGACTGGTCGACATTTTCTATGCTGTACTGTACAATGGTGCAGTATTGTGGTTGGCTGTTGGCTGTATACAAAGCCTGATTTGATTGGTCCCTGCTCCCTGTTTGCCCGCCCTGTCACTATAGTAGTCTGGTCCACCCTTGCATCAGCATCTCCCTGGGACCTCACTAGTGCGCAAGTGTGAGCTCTTCAACATTCTAACAGGCACCATGATAGCGCAAAATCGCGAATCTTCAATGCATATGTAAAGAAATATACGGTAACCCGAATTTACCACACTCGCAAAATCGCACACAGCCGACCATACACCCAGTATGGTATCGCGATTCGCGATTTTGCGCTATCATACTGGGTGTATGGTCGGCTGTGTGCGATTTTGCGAGTGTGGTAAAATCGCATAACAGCAAAATCGCATAACAGCCGAGCATACACCCAGCAGCGCGGCTGATGCCTGAACGGTATGTGGAATGAAGTGGGCGGGCATCGGGAGGCCACTATGGCACGGGGCAAGCACTATGGGCAGTCTATCTGAAGTGTACCTGGCGTATAAGACGACCCCCCACTTGGAGGCATATTTTTCAGGGCCAAAAAATCGTCTTATACGCCGGCAAATACGGTAGCCAAGAGGGTGTGTTCGGAGCAGAGACAAGGCTTCCATTTTCAGAGGCCTAAGCCCGCCACACCCAGCCCTTGTCTGTCAAGTACCTCTGAAAAGGTATCTGTTGCACGTTGCCCCCTCTGGTCCCAGTGATGGTGGCTGTGACATTTTCTGGCCTCACCCATGGGATGTGTCTGTCCCACAACTGAGTCTCTTCTCACCTTTTGTTTTCTTCATGTTCTCTGTCTGAAGTTCTTCCCTCATGGCTGCCAGGGGTCAGAGGCCTTTCAGGAGTCAGGGAGAAGCGGGCTGCTTTTGGGGCAAGCTGTGAGGAGGGCCTGGGGAGTGCATACCAGCTCCGGCCAGACCCTCAGGGCAGGAAGGCAGCAGCAGGGCGGGTGGGGGGCTGTGGCTTTCCTCCCTCCTAGGTCTCTAGGAATCTTAATCCCATCTCTGGTCCCCTTGCCCCTCCTTTTGGCTCAGAAATGGGGAGTAGTGGGTGGCAACTTGCTCAAGGTCCCACCCTCCACAAGGCCTCTGCCCAAGGTCGACTGCTTTTTCCCAGCCCCCAGACGTGGCTGGAGCCCGGGCAGCCTCCAGCCCAGTCAAGCCAGGCCTTTGGGCTTCCCCAGTGGGGCCGCAGAAAAGCTCTCCGACCTTGTGTGGATGCCTGTCCCCTCTGCCTGCCACCTCCCTCTCTCCGGCCTCCACGTGATTGCCCAGGTCCCTCATGCCACTTTGGGCATGGCTGGGCAGAGGTGGGAATGGAGCGATGACCAAAAGCAGCAGCCTAAGCTCAGGCGGTTTCTTCTGGAGTGAGGGTGGCTTGGTGCTTGACCCACCTGCAGTTTTCCATGGGCACCTAGCCCCCCTTCTCCCCTCTCTGCTGTCCTCCTTGATGCTCCCCAGATCCAGCCCTGACTCCAGGTTTCTGTGGAAGCACCCCCAGTGCTGCTTGGGAACCCACCCTGGGATTTCCGTCCCTGCCCCAGTCCCTCCCCCAGACCACCCTCACTGGCAGGAGACTTCCTGTCACAATGTGGGCCTGGCCATCCAAAGTTGCATCCCCAGGGGAGGCAGAAGCAGCTTCTCACCTCCTTGGCTCAATTTCCCAGCCAGGGTAAGAGACTAGCACACTGCCACCTTCCTCTTCCTCCCACCAAGCCCTTGGGACCTACTCTGGGCCACCCCATTGTCACACATACAGGGGCTTTGCTCCCACAGACCTGGGGAGGCAGCACACCCTGCTGCAGCCTGTCCCAAGTGCCCCTTCCTTCCTCGGCCGAACCCACAGGGTGGGGAGGGGGTCTACAGAGGAAAGGCTCTCACTGGAGAACACTCTTGAAAGTGCTGTCCCCAGAGCCCACTCTCATTCTCACACTTATTTTTTTCTTTTGTCTTTCCCTTTTTAGGCCATGATTTCTGGCGACCTCGACATTCTCAAAGATTGGTGCTATGAAGCTGTGAGTACTTTCCTTTCTATTTAGGCCTAAAAAGAAATCACAGTTTGGAGAAGGTCTGCTTGGGTGGCTGGTCTGGAAAGGGCACGACAGGGCCTGTTGTCGTGGTCAAGGGGAGGTTCCTGTGTCTGACACACCCGCCAGCACAGAGCCTTCGGTCCCTTTGCACGTCCTGCACCTCCACGCTGTGGGCGAGGTGCCACGTAACTGCGGGACTCGCTGAGGGTCAGGTGGCTGGTGGTTCCAGATGAAACCAGTCAGGGATGGGCCCTCCAATGTGCTCTCTCTCCTCCCTCACTTGGTCTGAAGGATGGCCTGGGGCTGGGGCAGTCCTCCTGCCTCTTGTCATCCAGAACCCTCCCCCGTCTTAGTTCTGGTTAAGAAGGCTCATAAGGGGGCTAAAAAAAGCGATCGTAGGGGAAGCGATCTGAGTGAAATGGGGGTTCATTGGAGCCTGTCCACCTGCCTTGTTTCAGGTGGCCCTGAGTGATGTAAAGCAAGGCCCCATGGCCAGGATGGCCTGGGTACAGGCTTGGGGCCCAAGGGTCGGGTAGAAAGGGACATTGAATAACTCTGGGGTGCATTAGCCATTCCCCCACAGGTGCTGGAGAGAGCATGGTTTCAGGTCCCAGTGGCCTGTGTCCCCTCCCTTCCCTCGGCCAGAGTTACATCGTTGTCCCTGTCTCGTGGGATTGTGAGGGTACAGCGTGAATACAGAAGCAGCGTTCAGGACACACGAAGCACTGAATGAATTCATTAGCTGTTCTTGCTGGGAGATCCCAGAACATAGGTCAAAACAGATGTTATTAGATTTCTTGCCTGGGCAGGAGCCATGGGTCCTAATGAGACCCCACTGCTTCCCGGAGTTAGGGCTCAGGGTCAGGGCTGCGTGCTGTCCGCCCAGTTCCTGGCAGCCTCCCTGTTTCCTCTGGCTGCCTCGCATCACTGTGTTCACTCCCTGGCCTGTGTTTTCATGGGTCTTTTTGTCCAGCTTCTTTGTATTATATTAAGCAATCCAGAGGCTTTTGGGCTGATTCTATTCTGTACCAGCTCACAAACAACTTGGAAAAAGCAGAGGAGAAGATGTCAGATTTTCTTTTTAAACACTCCCCTGCACGGTGACTAATCCAGCAGGCAGTTATGAGTGTTTTGTGTACAATGTGGTTTTTTTTGGGAACAATGTTTTTTCCAGGACCCATCAGCTCCAAGTCAAGTTGCTGTCCTTTAATCTTAGTTGTGGAGGGCACAGCTCAGCTTCAAGTTCAGTTGCGTGGGGGCGTAGCCCACCATTTCATGCGGGAGTCGAACCGGCAACCTTGTTGTTAAGAGCACGTGCTCTAACCGACAGAGCCATTGGCAGCCCACAATTATGAGTGTTTTGTGTTGTTGTTTTTTTTTACTTTGGGACCATTAGGAGGTTGCTGACTTCCTTTGCCAGAGAACTGCTGGTGCCCCTAGAAACACAGCTGAAGTTGTAACCACGCACAAAAGTGTTTTTTAAATGTCATCTTTAAGAAACTCACAAGAAGTAGTATGGGCACCTTTTCTTTTTTTCTTGGTGATTAGTTGTTTCCATAAAAAGTAGATGCTACTAGAATGTCTTCCGTCACAGTTGCCTGTTGTGATACGAAGCTGCACATGTCCCAGGGACTATATGCCCTGCGCCTGGGATCAGGCGCGAGGAGATTGAATGTCATTTAGGGCATCACTGCCCCATAGGAGGAACAGGCTGCCTGCAGCCGTCAGCCACCCATGAGGGGCTGGTCAGTGAGAATAATGCAGCTGGTTTCAGAGCCACCTGTGGGGTAGGACAAATCCTAGAAAATCGTTTGATTCCAGGCCAAGACTTTGAGGTAAATGTGGCACTGTTTAAGATCAGCCAGGGAGGCCTCCACTTCCCTATGAGTGCATCTCAGATGTGTTCCAGGAGAATCACCTACTTCGCTGATTAAAGCTTTTATTCAGTAGTCCTGACACAGTGTTGTCTTTATAATGAGAGGGCAGCATGTGACTCAGGCCAGCCAACAAGTGGCACCAGCTTCTGTGCTTGGACCCATGCTCCTGGCATCAGCCGCTGCTGGTGTAAGCACACCCAGGCACGGGGGCCATTTCTGGAAATTCAAGAGCTGAAATCACGAAACTGCCAGTGAGCTGCCTACAGCTGCCCTCCTGTGGTGTGGTGCCTTGGCGTGGCTCATGTTTGGGCGGTTGTCACACAGGCATGTCGGCCTCTTGTTGCAGACCTATAGCCAGCTGGCCCACCCGATCCAGCAGGCCAAGGCTCTGGGCCTCCAGTTCCACTCCCGTATTCTGGACATTGACAACGTCGATGTAAGTGTCTCTTCCCAGGCGGGCTGCATTGACCCTGGGGTGGGAAGGTATGCAGATCATGAGGAGTGAGTTCCCTGTCCCTGGAGGAGTTCCAGCACAGGCGGTGCTTATAGATTATATGACCTCAAAGGTCCCTTGCAGTAAAAGTTTTCCATAGTCCTGTGGTTGGACTATTCTCAGGCAAGTGGTAGGCATAGGGGTGCTGCTGCCCAAACCTCAGGGCCCTGAGGGTCCCCCAAGGCAGTGCTGTGCCTGTACCTTCCCTGGGAAGGGTGGGGGTTTGCCAGTAGTTCTCAGGCCGCCGACGGTCTGCTCTGCCACCATCACTCCAATTTCTTCCCTGTTCGGGGCTGAGGGTATGCCAGCACTGGCTTCTCTGTGCCCCCACACAGCCCCAGTCTGGGGACCAAGAGGCTGCCAGGGTGTCAGGAGCCCACATGGATTCTCAGTTCGAATTCCATCTTACTTGTCTCTGGGAATCCCTACCTGGAAACAGGCCAGCAGGAGCCAATGGCCATGGGGTGCTGACTTGGGGCGGCTTCTCAGGGTCCCTCCAGGGTGATGAGTTGAGGTGTCAAGGTGCGGGGGCCCCTTCCTGGCAGCATCCCAGGGCTCTCCATCTCGAGGGGAGCAGCAGGGAGGTGGCCGGCGACCGTTCTCTGAGGCCCACCCACCCTGTTGGCTTCCCCGCAGCTGGCCATGGGCAAGATGATGGAGCAGGGGCCTGTGCTGATCGTCACCTTCCAGGCTCAGCTGGTGATGGTGATCAAGAACCCCAAAGGCGAGGTGGTTGAGGGCAACCCGGTGAGTGAAGGGAGGGGGCAGGATGGGGCAGGCAACCAGCCCAGGGCCAGTTGTATGGCGATGTTCAGTCACCCTGCACTGATGGCTGTTGAGAGCCAGGAGGTTCTGTGACGGAGGGGACAGCAGGCTGGTGCCTTGAGAAGTTCCAGGGCCTGAGGTGGGCCTGGTGGAGATCAGAGGGTGACTGACCTGTCCAGTTCCAGCCTCTATTCTGGACCCCAGGCCCAGGCCAACACCCCAACACCTCTCCTGGTCCCCCCCAGTGTCGCTGCGTCCTGACCTGGCAGCCTGGTCTTGTCCCGCCCTCCGCAGTCCCTTGTCCCATGTGGGTGCGAGCCTGCTCTCGGCCCCTGGCCCTCACCCTTCCGTCTCCTACAGGACAAGGTGCTACGTATGCTGTACGTGTGGGCACTGTGCCGGGACCAGGATGAGCTCAACCCCTATGCGGCCTGGCGGCTCTTAGACATCTCCGCTTCTAGCACAGAGCAGATCCTCTGACCATGGCACCACAACCTGGTCTTTGGGGCTGGATCATCACACGGCAGCCACATGGGGTGGGACCGATGTCCACCTGTGGCAACAGACCTCTGGACAAGACTGTTGGCTCTTCCCTGCTCTTATCCAGGGCAGCTGCAGAAACAGCTGGACAGGGAAGTGCCCGTGGCTGCCAAGGGCTGCTCCCCACAGTGCCAGCCCCTGCACCGCCCTTTGCCCCCAAAGGGCTGCTGGCCAGCAGGTCACCAGGGCACACGGCCAGACAGTGAGTGCCAAGAGACCCTTGTCCAGGGACTCCTCTGGGGTCAGCGTGGTGAGGCCCACTGGCCACATCAACCAGGCCGTTTTAGCTCCATTTTAAAAAAAATTTAACAGTGCCCTTATTATCCTGTATGTATGTCTGAGCTTTGGAAATGATAATAAAACACTGAAGTTCAGGAGAGCAACTTGGGTGGTCCGAGGTGTCTGTCAATGTGGTGTGGGTGTGGGCCACGTGGTCATAGGAAGGCCTTGGTCAAGGTCACTCAAGGAACTGCAGCCCCAGAGGGGGCACCTTGCTTGGTCAGGACCCTGCATCCCCCTAGGGGGCGCGGAGGTGGGGAGGTGGGGGTGGGAAGCGGGAGACCAGTAACAAGAAAAACTAGAGAGGTGTCCGAGATTTGGTCGGGGGTCTCTGAGCGTTGGGGTCTCCAAGGTTAGAGCTTGAGTGGCCATATGAGCGATGTTGGAGGGCACTGGGATCCCAAACAGGGAATCTGGGTGAGGGATCCATCGTGGAGGAGAATCGGGGTGCGGGCGCTAAGGTAGGGATGGGAGTCATCTGGGGAGCTTACGGCAGTGGGGAGAGTGGGGTCCTGATTGCCTACGGCTCCGCCTGGCGGGGGCGCGGTGATCCAGAGGCCGGGGCGGGGTCGGTGCCGTGCGCCGCTCCCTGCGCAGCCTCCGCCCCCATCCGCGGCCCCGCCCCTGTCGCCATGGGAACTGCCGCGGCGGCCCGGCTCGCTCGCGCCTTGCCCGCCTCGGTCTCTGCTGCTCCAGGGGCGGGTGGGGTGGGCTGAGCTGGGGCCGCCGCCGCTGCTGCCACCACCGCCGTGGAAAGGCCGATAGCGGAGCCGGCGCGGGTCCCGGAGGAGAGCGCGGCCGCCGGGCGCTCCGTCCCCGTCGCGGTCGAGGCCAGGGTGAGGGACACGGCGGGGGTGGTGGGGGAGGGGGTCCCCGAGACGCTGAGAACAAAGGCAGCAAGCGGGAAGCGAGGCCGGGTCCCCGCCGCGCCCCCGGGCCGCGCGGTCGCACCTGTTGTGCGCGGGCCGGTCGGGTTGGGGCTCCCTCTGTCTGCTCACTGCCCCCACCTGCACAGAGTTGGGTCCCCGCGTGGCATTGGCGACGTGTCTACTGGCCAGGCATGGGCGTTGCCCGGAGATTGGAAACGGGGGAAGGGGGACGGGGAACAGGCAAGGTCGGAGGGCGACGTGGGAAGGAAAAGCCTCATCCCCGCTTCCCGGGTCGGTCTCTCGTCCGCAGGGCGCGCGGCGATGTGAGACATGAGCGCGACGTGGACGCTGTCCCCCGAGCCGCTGCCGCCGTCGACGGGGCCCCCGGCGAGCGCGGGCCTGGACGCCGAGCAGCGCACGGTGTTCGCCTTCGTGCTCTGCCTGCTTGTGGTGCTAGTGCTGCTGATGGTGCGCTGCGTGCGCATCCTGCTCGACCCCTACAGCCGCATGCCCGCCTCGTCCTGGACCGACCACAAGGAGGCGCTCGAGCGCGGCCAATTCGACTACGCGCTGGTCTGAGCCCCGACATCCCCCGGCGGCCCTCCGTGGGGTCGCTTTCCCAGGGCACACCCGATAGGGGTGCTGCTGGCCGGGACTGTGCTCAGGATCCCGCTCCAGAGCCCAACCCGACGGGGAGGGCATGAGAAGTCCATCCCCTCCCTGCCCAGACCTCGCCCATCCTCCCTCCCCGGCAGGCCCGAGGCCCACTTCGTGCCTTTATCACACCCTATCTTAGCCCCATAACTCACCGACCCCCCCCAGCCTGTAGGTGGCTCTGCTATTGTCCTGCAGCCAGCATGAGTGTCGTGTCCGGTCCAGAATGCGGGGACTCCAATGTCCCCCCTTCCCCTGTCGTCTGGCCATCTCCACTCCCCCTCCATCCCCCTGTAAGTGCTGAGCCCCGCTTTGGGCTCACTCCTGGACCCACAGGGTGGACGTGGACGCTGCATATCGATATGCCCAGCGCAGTCTGCCCGGGAGACCGAGCCTGAAGAGCTACAATGGCTTCTGTGTCCGGGATGCACGGTGCCTTCCGTTGGGGAAAAGCACGGACAGGCTCACTCCCGCCCCCAGCCCAGGCCCCAGTCCAGATCAGCACACCCCTCCCTTAGTCACCATCTCCGCCCTTCACTGGCCCTCCTGCCACCCCTCCCACCCCCGGTACT